TATTATTTTTTATATTCTTATTAATAAAGTTATTATTATAAGCAACAAATATATTACGATTTTTACTTTTTATTTTACTTTTATTTATTTGTATTTAAATACTTTTGAAATGCCTGCATAATAATAAACACAAACTATCGATACTGTATCTACAAAAAGTATCGATAAAACTCATCGATTGTTGATTTAATTACGATCAGAGCAATTTGCTCGGCGTTTGATTAATGTTTATTAAAACTCTGCTATTGCCAGCTAACAAGTTCGAACAGCACTTTGGGTTGTTGAGTTTTTGTTTGAGTTAAATAATTTATCGATATATTTACATCATTTTGTAGTTATCCTGCATGACAAACTGCTTTTGCCTGCTTGCCCGATCGATGGGTTGGTCACACACAAAGCAACACACATGCAAAAAAAATTAAAGACAACAAGACAAAATTTAACAATAAACAAAATAAACAAAAAAAAAAAAACTATCGAGTTTTGTCTCTCGCGCTGCTCGCACTCATTCTTTTCTATGTGACTTTGTGACTAATTTGGCACACATGCTTTTCTGGCTGAGCTTGGAACTGGTTCCGGAACTGGTTGTTGGACTACCTCTTCTTCTTGTGACGCATCTCAGCTGGCGAACGCACCGTAGGCGCCGCGTGCATTATTCCCGACACCAGTTTTGTAGTTTCTCTCTGTGCCCCGCACCGCGATTACAACAACAGCAGTCGATGTGAACGGACGCGCGCGTCACTTTAAAGTGTGGCAAAAGACGGCAGCGAATCCGGGTCCGACTGCGACTGCGGCTTTGATTTTGTGCCGGGGCAGAGGCTAACAGTTTGCGGCTTGAGGCTTGGGGCAGCCGGGAGCGTCACTTGGCTCAGCGACCCAACGATCGGTGGCAATGTTTTTTGCGTTTTCTAATTCAATTGACAAGTCTTGTCTTTGCCGGAAGTGGGTGGGACCAAGGCGGCTAAGGAGAGCCAGCAGGCGATACGAGAGAGAGAGAGAGAGAGAGAGAGAGTGACAGAGTGAAAGAAAGGGGTAGGGAGGGAGAGAGCGGCAGAGAGGGCGAATGCGTAATCTCAAGAAATATGAATGCACAGCTGACCAAGTGCGTAAACAGCAAAAGCCAAACAAAGCAACAAGAATAAAGCTAAGTGTGACACACCGAAGATAAAATACACTGCTTTACCACAAAAGACCTTTTCAATATATAAGATACAGATATAGATAGATTTAACCGATTTAATGCGGGAGAATATGATGAAAAGGCTGGCAAATGTTGATTTTCTTTCAGATATCTTGAGAAATGGAAGAAACCAATTGATGAATTGAATTCTGCCTAGAGAGCTGTGGATATGAATAGACCAATAAGTCCCTAAGACTTTACTAATATCTAAATAGCCAAATGGCAAATCTGATCAATATACCCAAAGAACATACCCTTGGCATCCATATGATACTAAAGCCCGATCTGGCAGAATCCACCTGCAGCCGCGAGACAGACGCATCTGGCCATATCATTCGAGTCGACTGTTTATGCAGATCAGCCAAATATGACGTGTTCTTTTAGTCGATACACATGTTGTGACAGAAGCATAATACCCTCTAACAAGAGTATAGTCAAGGGGGTTCAGTTCTAGTCCAGGGGCTCTCTTTGGGGCTTTAACTCGAGCGACAAGCTTGCGCGCTTGTTAGCTTTTTTTTTGTTTCTAAGCTGCCCTCAAGGCTGAACGCTTTGCCGCTGACTGGTGCCTAATAATCGGTCGCAATATGCATCAGCCCACCACGCCCCCCGCGCCCTTAACCAGCCCCCAAAACAAAAGACCAGCTGGGCAGCAAGAATGCACAACTAGCCTTATGCGGAGGCAGCGTTAATTGGCTGCGAGTGGCAATCGATGGTGACAAGTGGCAAAACATAACTGTGAGCAAAACACACACACGCGCACACACACACACACACACGCACGCACATTGTTGCACACAGGTCATTGCTTATCATTTTTGTTCTTGGTGCAACAATTGGCACAAAAGAAAGCAACAAAAATTAAGGCGTCTTCGCCTGTGTGGAACGTGCGGCATGAGGCATGCAACGCTCAAACAGAAAAATGCGGCAAATGTGCTGCTCACCATCATGATATAAGGGTTCCGCTTATGCGACACCCCGAGCTCTGCATCAAAGTTCATTTGAGGCATTTTCAATTGAAGAGCTTGATTTATAGCATAGCTTTAAGATGTCCATTGGCAATCAACGCCTGGGAAACTGAATTGAGGTGCTCGACTCTCAAGACCAAGCTGCTAGAAAATATTTAACCATTTAAGAGCTTTAAAAAGCGACATATATAATATCAAGTAAAACAAATACATTTTCCCCAAAACTTTAAGAGGTTACAGGAAAGAGCAGGTCAGCCTAGACCTTCTTTACCTGAAAAAAGGAAAAAAGAAAAGAGGAGCAAAATTGTATCTAATCTCAGCTAACATTAATTGCCGTAGCCTAGCCTAACGCAATCTAACGTTATTCAATATGACATAATATTATCCAAATCAATTATACCTAGCCTCACATAAGCTAACCTAACCTTACCTTACCACACCTAACTTATTCTCAGTTAAGCTAAACTAACTTAACCTCACTCTACCTAACCTAACCTTACATTTCTGTATAAATTTGACTTTAGAGTGAGCCACCCTAGCAAAATCGTATCTGACCTATCAGATCCACCTTCAACAAAATCTTTTATGATTTTTTATATCTATCAGATCTATCATTAAATGCCGTGCTAATATAGCATAATATAATCCTAATCCTAATCCCACCTACCCTTACATAACCTATCTTCATTCAAACTAACCTAACTTAATATCAGTTAAGCTATACGAACTTAACCTCACTCTAACTGAGCTCATCTTTAATCTCTCTATCGACTTGCCTTTAGTGTGAGCTACCCTAATCCGTATTAACTTAAGCCAATCTGACCTTAAATGGCCCAGCCCAAGTTAACCTTATAAATTCTAATCAAATCTAACCCAACCTAACGCGACCTAACCCCACATAAACTCAGTTAGTCTGGCCCAAGTCAATCGCATCTAATCAGATTTAACTTAACCCCACTCGACGCAATTCCCTGACCCGCCTAACCTAACCTAACCCAATCAAATTTAATTTAGCCACAGTCAATCTCAGCCAATTTTGACGAAACTCAGCCGCTGCAAAGTTTTTTCTTTTCGAGCATAATCTCAAGTGCTTTAAACAAAATACTTTTGCCAAGTGTTTACACGCTCATAAATTATGCTTTTTGGGTTTATTGTTGTTGTTGAATTTTATATTTTTATTGATATTTTTATAGATTTTTGAATATTTCCAACGAAATGTTATGAAATTTGGGCGATCGAGCCACATGACGTATGCGTAATAAACCCAACGGCAATTAAATGTTTGGGGCAAAAACAAGTAGACAATCTAACGGTTTATTTCAGTTCCAGACAGCTGCTAACTTTAGTAAACAGTTTTAATACGATAATTAAACGATAAAAGCATAATTAAAATGTGAAATCAAATGAAAATATGGAGAGTGCAAAAAGAAAAGAAAACACAAACGAACAAGCAGAAAAAAAAGACAACGTGCGGCAAGCCGAAGAGGAAATACTCTAACAGAATACACAATTGTGCCTATAGGAGACATACGATAAAGCAGACCGATACGGGCTTCGGCAGCAGGCTGAATATCGTATTTGTTCAGCTGGGCTGGAATATGCTGACTAGGAGCAAAGCTTTTCAATATGAGAATAAACTTTTCTGGCAATTATTCCAATAGAGCTAGATGATATTGATTTTGCAAAGCTGATAAGACTTTCCATATATAAAATAAGATTTTCCACATATATATAAAAACAAATGCAAAGTTTCATCAAGCTAACTTGAATAACAAACAACTTGTTCCTACAAGAGCTTTACCATGGATAACTGAGCGACGAACGAAGCTGGTATCAAGAATATATATCAATTATATATACCTTAAGCTATATGCAACACATTGCGTAAGCAGGTTGATAGACTCTCTGCAAGTGTATCAAAAGATCTTGCATATGCTGGGGCTAGATCGTAAATGTGGAATTCGACGATCCTAAGTAAATATTTAGAAAATAATAAAATGAACATTTATTTATTTTGTTTTTTTCCTTTTTCTTTCTTTTTAATGCACTAAACGGCAGCAGAGGCAATACTTGGAGTGGCTAAAAAGCGGTTGAAGAGGAAGCAGCAGCAGCAGCAGTAGTAAAGAACTTAATAACAACTCGCAGAGGCGGGCTTTGCTTGCGTGGGGCGTTGGGCGTTGGGCGTGGCACTGTGCAACATTTGTTTGCTGCTTACCTTGGCGCTTGGCTTAAGGTGCCGTGCGTCGTCGTGATGTGGGCCATGCAGGCGATCCATTAACTTACTCCTCTGGGTTCCGCTCGGCTAGCACTGGGTCAAATCTGCACACATACACGCACACAGGTACACACACAGGTATAAATATATATGTATATATACATATAGATGCATATATGATATATACATATAGATGCATATATGAGCCTTTATATACAGGGTGCAGCGAATGGGGCATAAGTCGTAAGTTACTCGATTGGCGTATATATACATATGTATATATACTTATATATATATATACAGATCTATTGGTGACAAACACACACACACACACACACACATGCACGCACGCACAGTGAGCTGTACATAAATACATTTAATATGTTACGTATACGTAATATGGTTATTGCTGTCTTCGTTGTTGTTGTGTTTGTTGCTCTCGTTGTTGTTGTTGTTGTTGCTGTTATTGTTGTTGTTGTTGTTGTTGTGTCTAGTGGGCTGCGCATATTTATGGAGCAGACATATAGACAGACATGCTGCTATATATATTTATTTATATTCAAATTCAAATGACAAAAGAAATGAAACGAAACGAAACGAAACAATTTTCTTTTCTTTTCTCAATTTTTTTTTCATCTTCATTTTTTTCGATTCTCTTTACATTTTTATTTTGCTTTTCACGAGCCGCTGACACGGGGGCAGCGGGCCGGCGGCGGCAACATTTGTCGCACACATTTTTCACATATTCAAATGCGACAACAACAACAATAACTCGAACAACAACAACAACAACAACACGAATTCCACACGACAACGAATCTGTGTGCGAGAGGCCAAAGACGACAACGTGCACAGGCTGAGTTTTTCGTGAGGTGTGTGTAAAGAACTTGGTGCTCTGGCGGTGGGCGGAGGGGGGGGGGGGGGTGTATTGTGTGTTGGGGGGCTGCAGCAGCTGGCTGCTCTGCGACGTCATTGGCGACACTTTTCACATCATTTGCTTTTTGGGCTTAATTGCCGCCTGTTTGGTTTTAACAAAACTGCCCAACGAAACGCTTTTTTGTTTCTTTTTTTTTAAATTCTCTTCTCTTTCGGGGCACGCACAGCACACAAGGCACAGAAACTCACAAAAAAAAAAAAACTCAAATATAATAAAAAATAACGGGAAAAATGGGCCGAAAATAATTACGAAAATCGACGAAGAAAACGCACTGGAAAAACTGCTGACGATTTGCGATTGTGTGTGGGGCAAGTGTGAAGCGTTCACCGGCGTGCGCGTTACTGAAGATCGGCATCGACAGCGGCAGCGGCAGCGACGGCGACGGCAGCGGCTGCTGGGGCAGCGGCGGCAACTGCGACGCCGACTGCGACGTCGACTGCGACAGCGAACGGGTACGGAACTGGCAGGCAGAGCAGGAGACGGCGACGTTTTTGAGCAAATCCAGCGCATATTGCTCTGTGTGTGTGTGTGCGTGTGTGTGTGTGTGTAAGCAAAGTGTTTTCTTTTTGTTTTTTTCTTTTCGTGTTTTACGCAAATTGTTTTGCAGCAGCCAACGTCAACGGCCAACGGCCTGAGAAACCAGCCAAAAGTGCTCCGCAGCGCGTTTATGCGGGCCACGTTTGTGCGATCGAGAAGAGATCAGGAAAATTCAAAAGATTTGCAGGAAATTTATGATATATTGAAATATTCTTGCAATTTTTTGCTTGTTTAGTCTTGTTTGGAAATTAATACCCTTGTAAACAGTTGCCTTGCGAGCACGATGAAAATAACATGGAAAACTCAAATTGGGTGTCGAAGCTATTCTTTAATAAACAAGTGAATGCCCATTGGGTTAGCTTTTCGCGATTTGCCAGCACGCACAAACGAAGGCGGGCAACGAGAACAGATTGCGACCAGCCTTGTCCACCTGTCTCGAATTGCAGTACAGCTGCATTGGGGCTAAAGGCCTCGGCCTTGTCGAAACTTGACCATAAAATTTAAAGTGAAATATATAAAATAATAAATCAATTTTTAAGTGAACAACATAATTCTTGTGGGCAATGCTTTCTGATTTATTTTTAGAGCTCGTGGACTCTGATAAGACCCCCCGCTTGTCACATATGCGCTATCTGTATACAAGAACTGTCTTTTCTGACTGATTGCTTGACTGATTGACTGACTGATTGATTGGTTTTCAAGGCATTATCGAATCCATATAAGCTAGAAGGGCGCAGTTTTGACAGTTTTACTTGGTCTTAGATAATTCTACCCTCGAGAGTGAAAATTTGATAGAAAAGGGGTTTCTTTATTATTAAATTGGCTTCAGACTTATTTTAAAAGAGCTTTCAAAGAAAGAGAGACGTTTACAACTGCGAGTCTGGAGCTGTAGGAAAACATTTTAAAATAGCGCTCTTCTATGCGAATCCCATGAATTCAAGTAGGACTTGTTAATAGTTTTGTATTATATGGTTGCGATGGCAATATTATAAAGTTTATCTTTGATTTGCTTGGCTTTGCTTTCTTTCCCGCTCTCCCTCACTGTCTCGCTGCGTCTCTCTCTCTCTCTCTCTCTCTCTTTTTCTCTCTCGCTCTCACGTTCTATTTTTTTTTTATATTTTTCCCTCTTTCGCTCGATATGCTCCACACAAATACAATGCTGGCTACTCATATTATGTTTATGCAAATATACGTTTGCAACTTTAAGACGACGACGGATTAAAAGATTTCAAATTTCCTAAGATCTTTAAATCCCTCGACTCACACAAAACATTTAAAGGCTATAAGGATTATTAGCTCAACAGAGGTGTCAGAAGTCACATTGAAACGATATTTCTTACTTTTAAACAATAAAATATGATGAAAAGTGCATTATGAACAGTTCCTCAACATATTTGCACTTTAATTCCCAACTAGTTATGGCAAACGGCAGTCCATAAAAGCCCAACAAGCGGAACTTACAAAAACTTAGCAAAGTATGTAGTTTATTTAAGCTATTTGCTAAGTATTTCTTGTTTGAGACATTTATTAAAATCAAATTGCAAAACTATCGATTACACAAAGTAGTTGAACTCAAATAAATGTCGAAAATGAGTAAAGTTTGGCGCAACATCTGCTTAAGCAAAATGTTGCTTGATTCTATATTACTCATTAAAAGTTAGCAACAAGTGGGTATATCGGCTGTGTGCAAACGTATGTAACATCCTAAAGAATGCATTTGCCAGACTAAGAAGCGGAGTGAAAAATAGGACATCCCGTGCGAGAGTGTGTATGTTTGTGTTTGTAAAGAAGAGATTCGGCATGTTCCGGCTTACGTTATTATCAAGTTGAGCACTTCCGCCTCCTGTTTTTCTTTTACAGGTAATATGCAAAATTTGCTAACGATGCGGATAGGAACTTGTTAGGATCTTTCGTGCGAATGGTAAGCAGGGGAGGGGCGGGGACCTTCTGCTAAAGACGATCTCGCGGAACAAATGACGCAAAATGCAATTACAGAAATTGCAAAACAGCGAAATTGCAAAATTTCTGCACTATTTAGTATTTAGCTAAATTATGGTATCTGTTTTGGGTGCAAACGTCAGCAGTCCCAAAATGAACAAGAAGAAGAAACTGAATGCTTATTATGAGGTTAATAATGACGTTGCGAAAGAGAGAGAGAGAGAGAGAGAGAGAGACAGGGAGCACGAGAAGTCTGGGGGGCTTAGTAAGCAAGAGAATTGAGTCGTTTCAACTAAATCTTTCAGCGTGTAATACTTAGATATTAATGCGTTTTATGGCGTCCACAACAAAAACAACAAGTGGTGTAAGAAGAAGAACAGAGAGCGCTGTGTGACCTTCACTCACTTTTCTTTTCGATTTCCACTCGAGAGCTGCGAGCGTATTGCGTAAAGTGGCTACTCAGCTGCTTAAATGATGCTCAGATACTTTTTCATACGCTGGTCAGATGCAGATACAGATACAGATACAGATACAGATACAGATACAGATACAGATACAGATACAGATACAGATACAGATACAGATACAGATACAGATACAGATACAGATACAGATACAGATACAGATACAGATACAGATACAGATACAGATACAGATACAGATACAGATACAGATACAGATACAGATACAGTACAGATACAGATACAGATACAGATACAGATACAGATACAGATACAGATACAGATACAGATACAGATACAGATACAGATACAGATACAGATACAGATACAGAAATACAGATACAGATACAGATACAGATACAGATACAGATACAGATACAGATACAGATACAGATACAGATACAGATACAGATACAGATACAGATACAGATACAGATACAGATACAGATACAGATACAGATCAGATACAGATACAGATACAGATACAGATACAGATACAGATACATATAGATATAGAGATACAGATACAGATACAGATACAGATACAGATACAGATACAGATACAGATACAGATACAGTTACAGATACAGATACAGATACAGATACAGATACAGATACAGATACAGATACATACAGATTACAGATACAGATACAGATACAGATACAGATACAGATACAGATACAGATACAGATACAGATACAGATACAGATACAGATACAGATACAGATACAGATACAGATACAGATACAGATACAGATACAGATACAGATACAGATACAGATACAGATACAGATACAGATACAGATACAGATACAGATACAGATACACATAGGAAGAGACGTAGATACATAAGTATCTAATGGATACGAGGCTATGTTGCCTTGTTTTCGTCAATTGTCGACAATATCGTTTTTAATGTGCCTCTTTATTTGTTTCAAAAAAAGCCAATGCCAAAAAGTCTGGGGGCGTGGTCGCACCATAGGAGGCGGAATGTGGCGAGGGGAGGGGATTTGGTCAGGCTCTGCGAAACGTTTTCGTGAAATGCCAAAAGTTATTTTAATGCATTTTCATTTTCGTTTTCATTTTCAAGCATTGCCGATTGATTGCTGTTGATTTTTGCTAGTAAAGTGATTTTGAGCAGACGAAAAATGTTTTCATTTTTTTAATTTATTTATTTTTGTTTTTTATTTTCACTGCGTGCTAACAAGGGCGTCAAGCGGCGGGGGGCGATGGGCAGGGGGCGTGGCGCATGAGTAACGAGTGGCTGATGAGCGCGCGGTGCGAATGGATCATTTGCAGCGCAACTGCGATACGCAGGGAACGCCTACGGACGAGGGACGTGGTTGGGATGCCCTCTAGCATCACCCCTCCCCTCACCACCTCCATCAACAATACATTTGTTTATACAATTTTGTTGTTTTGCGGCGCATTTAATTGAGTCTTTTGGCATTTGGCTTGCCTATTTGTTTATTCGACAAGTGTTCGATTGATTGATCAATCGAAACTGTGCACATGATTGATTGATTGATTGATTGTTGCATGCAGCAGGTGCAACGACCTGTTTGATTAGCTTTAATTATTTTCTTTTCGTAGCCGACCAATAAGGCTTTAATATATTATGGATCTGTATCGGAAGCTGTATCGATATAGCCAAGTCTGTCTCTCAGTTATAGGTAAGTCGGGCAGATCGGACCACTATATCATTTGGCTGATGTAGAAACGATTGATCGAAAATTAAGTTGTGGTGAGAACAACTTTTTGTAAGCACAAAACACATCAGCTTAACCTTATCAATATTGATTTACCATATCGAGATAAGTTTTGTTTTTGCATAAGTTATCTGTTTTTCGAAATATCTTCATCAAACTTCACAATTCGCCCAATATATCTGCAAGTCCTTAAGTAATACGTCTACAAGGAGACCTAATATTAAGGATATTTTGATCTATTTAGTGTGTCTCCCCCGTCGCCCCTGCACCTGTTTTGACACAATAACCGAAATGGGCAGCCCGTGCCTCTGACCTTGAGACAGTGGGTAGAAAGTGGGCAAAACAAACGCGGCAATGGCTAGGCGAAAATCGCATAGCAGCATGCCATTGCAACATGCCAAGGCTACATGCCATTGCAACATGCCATTGCAGCATGCCAAGGCAATATTCCTTTGCAACATGTCTTCGATGCACGTCAGAGCAAACATAACTATCAACTATCATAGCAGCCTTGAAGCTTGAAAGCTTGATATCAACATGCCATGGCAAACATATGTATTTCAACAAGCCGAACAGCTTGTTGCAGCGATTGTGAAAGCCACATTTCATAAGCACTGAGAGCACACGGCAACTTTTTAATGGGTACATTTTGTATGGGGCATTGTCACAGCAGCTTTAGCTTGGAAACATTTAACAACAACATTTAAATAAAACATTTCTTTGTAGCAGGCAGCAACATATACCAAAGCAACATTATTAGAAATATCGATACAGCAACATGTCACTGAATGTTGCCATGTGTTGCCATTTAAGCGCAACATTTGCACAGCAGCATGTAGCTAAGCACAATGTAAGACTCATCCAAGTTTCACAAGTTCTTAAATGCATTTCAATTAAATTTCAAATAAGCTGATGTTAATAAGAGTTTCCCTACCTGTTAGTCGCATAATACTCATAATTAATTAATTAATTAAAGTAATTTTTTTTGGTATAGCTTTGGTATACCAAAGCTATCGGTATCCCGCTCTATGATCGTATCTGTTAATCTTTTAGTGTAAGAAATTTTCATAAAGATCGGATGACATAGACCATAGTTATTCCTGAACGAATTTTCGCTTGGGGTTGTTTGAGCGTGTGCGTGAGGGATTTGGTATATATGTATAGAAGAAAGTTCAAATGTTTGTTATGAGACTTTATAACTAAACTCAGGGTATCTTTTAGTCGGGCATTTCCGACTAGGAAACTCTTCATATTCTTAAGAACTTGAAGAAGCTTGAATTTTACAGAAATAGGCACCTGTTCGATAGCAAAGCGCTTCAATTTGCGAGGGGCATTCCGAGAATGGGTTAACAAACTTCTCAGCTCTTAGCCTAGACACAAACCGCATGCACATTGCATTCTCGTGGCATTCGCCTTCGCT